AGAGGGAGTTGGCCTAGAGGATCAGGAGGCCCGACTTGAGGTTGGCGTTGCATTGCCATCCCAAATCCAGGTGAATGGTGTGGTGCTCACTTTGGATAGCCCCCTTCGAAGTTTACGCGCCGCACGCGCCTTCTACCGGATTGGTCAGAGTGGGGGAAAACAGAAGTGCTTCAATCGGCTGATGTCGCACCAACACCAACTGGAGCTGCTTATGGCCAGGGACTTGGCCGCTCAGGGACGAGCGATGGACCAGCGCATCCCATTGGAGCAGGTTTCAGCGAGGGAGCCAACGGTGGAGGAGAGGCGCCAACACGAACTCACTCATCTTCCATATGAAGCCTGGTGCACCGCCTGCTTGAAACATCGAGCCCGTCAAGACCAGCATAGGAGGACTGGCAAAGCCCATGAGCAAGGATGCCCAACTATATCGTTCGACTTCTGCTACGTGAAAGCCTCGGGTTCAGGAGCACTTGGTGAAGAGGAAGATGACGGGGCCCAGGCTGGGGTAGAGGTTGAGCGAGGGGCAGTGCTGATGGTAGCGGTGTGCTCACAGACAGGGTATTTGCTAGCCCTGCCGGTGAAGTCGAAGAACCAAATGAGCCTCATCACCCATGAGTTGCTGGCCTTCACCCAAGTCCTCGGCCATGAGGAGGTCCAATACTACAGTGACAACGAGCCGACTTTGCGGCAGATTCTCAAGCTCTTGGTGACAGCAAGGTCATCTATGGGTCTGAAGACGACAATGAGGACCACCAAGATCTACGACTCGGCCGGCAATGGACTTGTGGAGAATGCCATCCAGCGGATCAGGAGCTTGGCATCAACATTGATGGAGAACCTGACCGAGCAGATTGAGCTTAGATTCCAAAGCCAACATCCCATTTGGAGCTGGGCGTGCAGGCATAGCGCATGGCTGATCAACCGCTTCCAGCCATTTCATGGCTCTACAATGCAACTTTGGGGAGGTTTGCTTTGCATACTGCAAGCCCAAGCAAGGGTACAAGGCTGACCCCAAATGGAGGCTCGGAATCTACCTGGGAAAGACGGAGCTCCAGGACAACTGGGTGATCGGTGATGCCAACAAGGTCTACCTGAGCCGCTCTTTGAGAAGGATGTCAGGGGCAAGCAAGAAGAACCTCATGTGCTACAAAGGGTTCACGGCCTACAGTTGGGAATATCAACAAAACTTTGGAGGCCGGATAGTTCCTTCGAAGAGGATGGCATCTATGGTGGGCATGCCTGTGAGTCGAGCTCTACCACCGAGCAGTGGGGTATCCCCGGATGATGTTGATGCTCAGGAGATTCTCGCCTTCGTGAAGTCCTATGCGGGAAAGAGAGAGGAAGCCAGAGAGCTGGTTGAGAATGAGCCCAATCGAGTTGAAGGACGAGAGGGCGGAGAACAGAAGAGTTTGGCAGAGCTGCAATTGGCGGAGGACAAGAAGCAGGACTTCGCGGAAGAGGAGGTTCCGGAGTTGGTGAAGGTGTCCAACCCTATGGCCATCAATGAGAGGAGGAATCAGGCAGGACCTTCAGATCCTCGTCCAAAGCCGCAGCAGGTAGTGACAACTCCAAGGAGTACGGCGTCCAAGACCGGGGTGGTGGAGCAGGAGAAAACTGATATGAAGAAGATGAAGATGACAGTGGAAAAGGCAGCGCATCCACTCGAAGCCTCAACTCCAGAGCCAAAGAGACCAAGGCATGAAGGAGATGCCAATATGGAGAGGAGAGTTGAAGTCACCCAGGTTGGAGCAGAGTCTTACTACCACATGGACGACATCATTGGTGAGGAGGAGATGGCCGTGTGGAGTCAAGAGAATGAAGAGGAAGATGAACAACCCTTGGAGATTCCCGATGCCCTATGGTCAGATGCACCCTTGGACCGAGTACCTCCAGACCCACCGAAGTGGGTTGATGATCTGGCTGATGAGGTGGAGGAGAAGCGACTAGAGAGGCTTGGAGTGCTCGCCCCAATGGAGAAGAGGCTGGAAGGATACAAGAGTCTCACTACGAGGTTCGTGCGGGATTGGAGAGCCAAGCCGAGAACCAAGGATTCAGGAGCACCGAAACAGTTTCTGCGGAGGTCAAGGCTGGTAGCCAGAGAGTATGCCACCGACCGTCGTGATGATGTCCACAGTCCAGCGACAGGTGGACAAGCCTTGCGGCTGCTACCATCCATCTACCTCATGAAGAAGGCAGAGGAGGAGCATGGTGGACTGGAGTACACCTTGGGTGCCCTGGATATCAAGGATGCTTTCCTGCAAGTCCCTCAGGCAGTACCTACACAGGTGAGCACTGCCAGTGGCCACTTTGAGGTGAAGAAGAACTTGCCCTGCCAGAGGATTGGAGCCAAAGCTTGGTTCGAGTATCTCACTGACTGGCTGAAAGCAAAGGAGTTCAGCTTCTCCGAGATCAACCCTTGCCTTGGACGTTTGGGCCACAAGATGATGCTCCTCATTCACGTGGATGATGTGATGTTTGTTGGAGAGAAGGATTACGTGATGGAGCAGTTCATCCCAGACCTCAAGCAGAGCTTCGAGATTTCAGAGCAGCATTTGACTGGCGAGGGCAGCACATTCCAGTTCTTGAGGAGGACCTATGTGGAAATTGAAGGTGGCTTGAAAGTAATGCCCGGGAAGTATGCCGAGAGCATGATCGAGATGTATGAGGAGAAAATGGGCAAAGCAAAGATACAGAAGCTTCCTTGTGGTCCTGAAGTTCTGGAAGCTGATGGTTCGGTCGAGCTCAAAGCTGAGTTGGCAAGCCTGTACCGCTCGCTGGTTGGATGCGGGATATACCTGTCACAGGAGAGGCCGGATGTCTCCTACACGATCAAAGAGCTGGCATCGACTATGTCATTTCCTACGACCAGCAGCTTGAGGAAACTGGGAAAGCTCATCGGCTACCTCAAGGGGACGATTGGCCAGCATAGCATCCTGGAGATGACAGAGCCAGGGCAAGGACTGATTTGTCGCACTATGGAGGCCAGATGGATCATTGAGACCTTTAGCGACAGTGATTGGTCGGGATCCAAAAGCCATCGACGATCCACCTCAGCCGCGATCCACATGTTGAACGGAGTGGTCATTTTCACCAGTTCAAGAGGGCAGAAAAGTGTGGCCCTATCTTCAGCCGAGGCAGAGCTCAATGCATTGGTAAGCTCAGCCGCTGATGGAATCTATCTCAAGCGGTGCTTGGAGTTTCTGGTGGATGAAGTGGTGATCCATGAATGCCTGGTGGATAATTCGGCAGCCTTACATCTTTGTCACCGACGAGGCCCAGGGAAGCTGCGCCACATAGCAGGAAAACTGCTGTGGATTCAGGATTTGGTGGCTCAGGAGGAGCTTCGAGTCAAGGCAGTGGGGACCCTCCACAATGTGGCTGACTTGGGCACAAAACCACTATCACGAAACCGCATCATGCTGATCCTGTATTGGTGCAACACCCGCGGCGGAGACGGTGAGAAACTTGGCGAGGAGGAGTATGCCAAGATGGAAGAGAGCCGAGTGAACCCGGTGAAGATCCAGAAGTTGGCAAAGTTGCTGAACAGGATCCTGCTTGTTGGGGGTCTTGAGCAGGCCACGGCATCAAGGACCGAGGGTCTTGAGGAAAAGGTGGAGAAGAACAATGGCATCATGATGGTGATTGTGGTGGTTATGGCATTGATGATAGCAGCACTGGCATGGACGGTGTATAAGTTATGGGGCATTGTCGAGGAGTTGAAGACAAAGATTGCGGACGCCAAGGACAGTGCCTATGTCAACGGAGTGTCCACCAGAGCCTATGCGCAGGGCATGCGAGAAGAGATGAAGGAGATGAAGAGCTACAGCCAGGAGATCCATCGAGGTCTGATCAAGGCCTCGGGATATATCGACAAGGAGGAGGTGAGCGAAGATGAATGGAAACACTGGAACTACATCCAGGACTCCAATAAGGACTTTGACTTGCGGCGGATCCACGCCCAGATCAAGGCCTACAAAGAGGAGAATGAGAGGGACAATGGACCGATTGACTTGCGGCCCTACAGAAACACGGAGGAGGCAGAGATGCAGGAAGAGAATGAGGAAGAAACCGTGACGGTGCGTCTGGACAGCGGAGAAGTGGTTCAGATTCCCTTACGGTTCATAGAAGCCCGGGAGCCGGAGAGCGAGGATGAAGCGCCGGAGACGGCCATGGAAGTGAGCGAGGCCACCCAAGAGGTTGAGTGGGCTGATGAAGATATGCCCACTCAGGAGGTCAAAGACCCCACCATCAATCAGGCTACAAATGCCTGGCTCACTCGTGAGGAGCTTCGCGAGTTGAAGTGTTTCGATTCGGCATGTGCACGATCCGGACTTCGTGCAAAGCAGCACATGTTGAAGCTGCAAATGGAATGGCAGAAGGCTGACCATGAAGGGGATCATGAAAGGAAATTTGAAATTTACGCCATGATGGACACGCACTACCCTTTCATGGACAGTGAAGACCTGCCTTTTTAGAGAGTTGGTGCATAAGCTGACACGCTCAAGCACCAAAGGAGGAGTGGCAAACAAAAGCCATTCAACCTTTACCCGCAGACCCCTTCAGCGTCAAACATCCGCTCGCATAAATGGAAACCTCAAGTTGCACAATTTGAGCATTGGCTAGCGATCCTCAAGATGTGTTCGAGTCTACACAATGTATATACAATGTAGAATGTAATTTCTTTGAAGCCAACACATCATGCTGTAGCTAAGCACACACGCACACAAGACGCCAGCATCTCTGCGTGCACATTTGCAGCGCTCGGAAGGCAGCTAGTTACTTACCCAATTCATGAGGTTGGAGGCCATCGCTATGAGTCCATCGCTACTGGTTGGAATCACTACTAGGTTGGAGGCCACCGCTACTAGGTTAGAGGCCATCGCTAGTAGGTTGGAGGCCATCGCTACTAGGGTAGAGGCCATTGCTATCAGGTTTGTTTTACTGTAAGTTGGCCTCTTGAGTCCAGACGACATGTCCCCTGCGAGATGTGCTCCCACCAGGTATTGATGCTAAAGCCTGGCGAGTACTGCGCAGTGCGGGGACTGCTGACAAAAAATTGCTATAGCCATATGTGCAGCTTTTTGCTTCCATGATATGAGCAACTATAAGTATTCGCCTATCAACAAGGTAGGAATCTCTCAAACAAGAGCTGACACATACCCTGTGAATCCCTGTGATCTAATAAAGTAGTCCTTATGGTGGATAATTAGTGTTTTTGAATTTAGTACTAAATAGATTCCGCTGCTGCTCATATATTTTTGACCCGATTCGTGTTTCTGTGAGGTACTGGGCCAATGGCAGAGGCAAAGGCTTGGCCTTGAGAAACTTCATGCACCTTCCTTTCATGCATAAAGGGCACGAACTTGCTTGAACGGGCCACGCACTGGCAGAAAATTGACCATTTGTTGCCCCCTTGCTGAGATGCCAAACACAGACTATTTGTTGATCAGTGTGCAGCCAGAACTCCCTTGCATGAGACCACTTGAGCCTCCCTGATAGAGTGGAATGGGCAGGATACAGAAAACCATAAGACCTGTGACTTGCGAGTATGTATGGCATGTAATGTGGAATCGGCCAGCCAGAGCAGACTAAGTTAAAATTTTCCAACAAAAGTTGCTGAACCGGTGAACCCTCCTGGCTCTTCAGCTTGCAATGATTTTTTCCAGTAGTTGTAGTGGTAATTGGATTCGCCGCTGTAAAGTCTGTTGTTTGATCTCTCAGAACCAGTGTGCAGATAGGTCACAACGTGAACGGGCAACGCTAAATAGCATGGGGAGATTCTCCAGCGATTTGCCGCAGATTCCCGGGACCAGCGCAGGCCAGCCAAAAGGAGGCTTTGACTGCGGCTGCAGGTGACAAGCTTGGGGGAGCCACAGCGGAACCAAGCAGGAAATACCCTCTGGGGGGACTACTGTCCTGTGGTACACTCCTTTGGGGAGTGTACCTGGGTTCATGCTTTTGCTTTTCAAGACTTGTATATATATATAAATAATAATATATATATAATATACAGTACATCCTGAATGGGTTTTGCTGAGTGGGTTGAACAGCTTTGCACAACAAAAAGGATGCTTTGCATCCTGTGTTTGTCAAACTGTTGACAGGGCTATATATCAACAATAGTGAAATCACCATAGAAAAGAACCCATGTTTGCACTTTCTGCAATATTCAGGTTCCTATGCAATAGATTCAGCTGACTGGGGCGTAAGCGACTGGAGTGTTCCTGGAGGCTAGCCGGATCGACAACAACTTTGCTCAAAATGCCGACTTGCATTCCTTATTGATTCATGTTTGAGTTCCAGTATGCGCGCCAAGCCCTCTCCAAAACAACCCAAATTTTGAGATGCGGTCAACATGATGTAAGCAGGTGTCATTTCGGTTGGCTTTGACGCTTTGATCAGACTTGATCAGCATATACATCCGTCCAAAGAACAATACATGCCTGTACATGTCCCAAAGCTTCAAGAATTCAGCACAGCTCACATGCAGATGGCATGCCATTGCTTCAGCCCTTCTCTCAGACGCTGCCCTCGATGCAGATGCTGAGATTGAGGACAGTGGGCGTTGGAACATCACAACGGCCCGTTGTTGCCCGGGAAAGAGAGGGACCAGCATCGAATACGTTGAGTATTATCGAAGTAGAATTCGTGTCCTAGGGATTTCAGCAGGTGACCCAGTAGGGCGATAGGCGCTGGAGGCCTGAAAGGAACATGCTGAGTATCAAAACTTCTTGGGATTTGAAAGAGGCCATGTTGAAGTTTCAAGTTGCACATGACATGGTGAGGCGGTGAGAGTCTTTACTCTACTGGATAGCACTGAGAATGATTTCAAAAAGATTAGTATATTGTACATATCAAGCCAGCAGGCTCGGCTAGGCTGAAGTTTGGTTGGGCGAGCAAAGTGAGTAAAGGGTGTGTGTGTGTCACCCCCTGTACCAAAGGGTTCAATGCCACTGTCTTTCACTGCAACCACTTCACAAGGCAGGGGGTCGCTGGGGATTCGTGCAGTCAGCGACCAACGAAGACGCTGCACGTTTCCTGTGATATGAGTTGAGGACGCTCGACTCACGTACCTGCGACTGTTTTGAACTTTTGCCCACGCTGTTCCAATCTTCCTTTTTTGTTTCCATGGTGATTCATGATACCTCCCACAAACCTACTCTCCCCCAGCAGCTGCGCCGCCGCTTTGATCGTTTTGCCGCCGCTTTGAACGCACGAGTGCCTGCGTTAACAAGTTTGAACAATACTTTTCAGCGGACTTTTTCGCCTTGCCGTTCCATCACCTTCCTTCCCAACGTGGGAACTGAGTGTAACTGAATACCAATGTCAGAGTGTGTCTCGCTCAGCCGTCCCACTTGGGTGCTGAGTGTGATCCTCCGCAAGGAGGCGCCGTTTCATTCGGGAACTCGTGTAACTGAACTTTTCCACCGTTCACAGGAATTCACCACTGGACCAACCTTAACTGAATTTACCGCTTCCACGGCCCCGCCGGGCCAAAAAACGGGACATCAGCAGATTTCACCTTGCATCGTTTTTGCATCAGCCTTGAACTTTGCTTTGCGGGTTTTCTTCCTCAAGCTGAGCGATTTGATTCTTTCAGAACGCTTAATTCGACTTGCATGGACTTACCAACTTTCACACTCTCACAATTACCACAACTACCACTTTTACGCTACTTTTTCACCATTCAACCATATCTTTGCCATCTCACTTTACACGACTGCATCAGCTGCTGTCCTCGCCGCCGCGCCGCGCCGCTGCCATTGTGAAGCAGATACTACGATTTCAGGACAGTCTTCCACTTCCCACACGATGCAGTATCCTTGGCCTTACTCCCACACGGCACCACTGCCATTACCCACTCCGCCAACGCAACCAACACCCCATCCACCACATCCACACACACCACCAACATTCCAAGTCCCACAACATCATCCAGTTTCACCACATCCAACACTTCCAGCTCCACAACAGCCAGCATTTGCAGCACAGCCAACAGTATTCCCCTATGGACCTCAATCTATGTGGACCTTCGTGCACCCACATCAGATACCACCCCAGGCCACACATCATCCACAAGCATTTCCAGCATCCTATATCGTTCAACAACTACAACCTCCACCATCTGCCCACCCCACCACAGCCACCGTGATGCCGCCGCCTCCTGCGCCTCAGCAGGTCACTCCAACCACCACATCAGCAGAACCCCAATGGCACACATCACAAGGGGTCTGGCAACCTTATTCAGTCTTCCCACCAGTGACACCGCTGTCACCACACCCTTCTCCACAGCCCCAACAAGCAATCAGCGACTCACCACAAGAACAACCGCCGCCCCACGATCCTGCACCCCAGGATCCCGCAAACCCTACTCCCAACACTCCACTTACTGTCTCGCAACCTTCTCCATCACCAGCCACTACACCGGCACCACCAACCACGGTGAACCCAGACCCCGCCGCCGGGGGAACTACTCAAACAGCTTCACCAGCACAGCCATCATCCCACCAACCACACGCCAGTCGGCGCCGCCACCACCAGGGCCGCCGCAAGACCGATCATCACAGACACGGTCGCCACCGGCGTCGCCGTCGACGCGCTCACCGAAAGCGCTCCAGGACCACCAAACACAAAGGTTCCTCCAGGCGACACCGCTCGCCCTCCACATCCACCTACTCATACTCTGCCACTCCCTCACGCAGCCGCTCCAGACAACCTCTTGACCTACGACCCAACACGGATACTTCCACTGCCGACAATCTCAACACTTCCGCCACAACGTATCCACTCACACCGGTCCATCGTCGACCGCCCGATTTTTGGCGACCCACCTCACACTTTCAACAACTACCTCCCCACCAGCAACTTGTCACTTGGCTCGACTTCCATGCCGAACAGCTGGACACCCCCAATCGACCTCAACACCACTACATTGCCAACCTTCTCCTCGACAGCAACATCACATGAGGCAACCTCAAAATTATCATCAACCACTTTAGTAAGGGACGTTTCATCTCTGTGTTGCTTTCGTGATTTTCCTTGAAAACGATAGGGGACTGACAAAAAACGATACCCCTGTGTTTACATACTTGCAAAATCCAAAAGCATGGAAAACGATAGGGGACTGACAAAAGTGAAACGAAAACACTCCAAGCATATATTTTTGACGCTAACTCACATACAAAGACATTTCCGACTTTAGGCAATACACCTACGCCAAGTGGAATGACACCACCCAGCAATACGATCAATTCCAGTACAATGCCATTTCACTTCCATACCTCAACACCAAAGCCACCCAACCCTCACCGCCACCAGTTTCCCGCGCCACTTCCACAGACAGGGAAGTCGCACACATTAACGCCTGCCACACCGGTCCTGTCGGCAACATCACCAACATCCTACGACAAGGCCGTTTCCTCCCCAGCACACTTCACTTCCCAAACTACCCTGGCTTTTTTGCCCAGGGGGTCCGCATTACTCACAACCCACAACACGACCACGGCGAATCCACAATTCATGGCAACTCCACAAAAACACCCACTCCCTCGTTATCACGCTCCTGGCCTGGGGCGCCGCCGCAAAATTTACTTCGGGCGGCGAAGAACATGCTATGACCTTTTTACACGACAACCACGGCGCTGTCTTCCACCAGAAGGGCAGAAGTTGGGTCATCCACCCTGACCATGCTATTGTCAAAGGACTAGCATGGTCGATCAACGCAACCCCACCAGACCTGTGACAACCCAACACTCAACATCCACCAGACAACCGCCCACAACCTTCAGTTTCACCCAGCCACACACCCTCCGCCTCGCCAACAGCAAAAAGCAGCGCTGACACTCCTGCAGATGCTTCGGATTTCATTTCTTACATGTCTTTCGACCTTTCAAGCTTTGTTGGTTTTAAATGACACTTTGACTTTTTCGAGTCCAACTCGCACTTCACTGTTTTTGATGCTGATCGTGAATTCATTTCGGCATGATTTTCGGCCCGGTCTTTGTGCTTAATTCATTTGCACGTTCTCGTGATGCTGCGCCACCGCTGCCCAGCTGCCACGCCGCCGCGCCGCTGCGCTGCTGCTACAAACTACGACCCTGACCCAGTGAACTCTTCATCAGCATCGCAATCACACTTTCAACATATGACTACCACAAGCTCACATCCTCGTGAAGATACTACCGCACTCCTGCAACAAACGACAGTGGCCCTCTCTCAGATCCAACACCTCCTCCGGCAAGCCACAGACATTATGGCAGATCTTCACACACGCTTTCTACACCACATTGGACAGGCGGATCCTACCTTCCACAGACCCTTGCCACCACCACCAACACGCTCTATTAACCTGCCGTCACCCGCTTCCTCCTGCGACTCACCACCACCTATTCCACGAGTTCGCAAACCACCTCCGCCATCAGTCAACTCCGACACACCTTCTCCCACTCCTTCACTCAAGCACACACCTGCCCGCAAGCGCAAACAGCCACCACCACCTCCACTCGATCCACATGCAGACTGGGATGCTTGGGATGGTGAAGTCGAGTGCCGCCTCGTAGACCTCAAAACCATTCCCAGGCTCCGACCCAATTGGGCCTTTGTTGCTCGACGGGTCGGATTCTCCATCGAGCAATGCAAAGCTCGATGGAAAGAGCTTCAAGACCTACAAAGACTGCAAGACGCTCAACCGCCTGAGCCTGCTCCACTACCCACAACACCACCACCACCTTTACCTTCCACTCCGAACCCCATCTCACCAACTCCCACATCACCAGCAGACACACCGCCGCAGCAATCACAACCCGACTTCTCAGCCTCACCAACAGCAACCCCACCATCCACACATGAAGCTGTGCCACCGCAGACGGCTGCTGTGCGAGCGCCCAGTGAGAACAGGCATCCGGAATCACCTTCGGAACCGCCTATTGGCAGCTACTTTATTTGATCAGTTTCACTCATTTCTCCACGGCGTGCCCTCGGACAAATTCAGCAGCACGCCTCTTGACACAATTTCTATGACTAACTAGCATGCTACCACTGTATGTCTTTTGATTCAATCTCGTGTCAGCTTGCTTTGAATTCGGAATGCCAAGTGCACAAGCAGCTCCTGTTGCATCTTGCACACATGGCTTCACGCCGTATGCCTTAATTTTTAGATGGGCTCACCACAGTCCCGCAGCCTTTTACGTGACTTCGAGCCGTTTTTACCCTCACACATGGCTTCCTCCCGCGATCACCCTGCAGCCACCACTGCTGGCAACTACTACCTTCCAGGACGACCTCCCATTTACCTTGAACCTTCCATCACCCATCAGCCAGATCTCCATTCACTCAACTGTATGCTCGACATCCTTTTCCTGATCGTCCAACACATTCGACGCCACCCACTACACACAGAACCTATGCCAAACCAAACATACTTCACAGATGACCGAGCCTACAACATCCTTTACCAATACAGACGAGACACCATGCTGCTGGACCGCCTCGTCGACAGCCTCGCCACAGCTCGACGACTGCTCCAATTCGTTCCCGGACAACCCGGGACAATATC